TCCTGCCTCAGCCTCCTGAGTGCTGGGATTTCAGGTGTGCAAGCCTGACACTGGATATGGATAATCCAGAGTATCTTTTTATCCTGGGGTTGCAATCTTCTTAAATTATAATTTTTTTTTTTTGGCCCCTTTCTACTAATCTTTATTTCTTCTACCTCCGTGAAACAGTTAATCCTGTAGAAAACAAGCTCTTGGTTTCACAAAAAAGGAAGAATAAAGTCATGAGCCAAAGGAAGGAGTTAGGAAATTTTTTATTGGAGGTAAAGAGTAGAAAAAATGGCTCCTGGTTTCTGCAGTAGGCAAACCCGAAATGTGGAATTTCCACAGGGCTCCTCAGTCCAGACTTCTAACAGGTAAGCTGAGCATGAAATTGGGTTACCTATCACAGGAGATTCTGTGGATTTAAAATGACCAATTAAAACTCAGAATCTCTATCCCCGTTATTAAGCTTGTAGGGTTTACAGGAAACTGAGGTTTTAGAGAAACTGGTTGTTCTGCTTTTTAAATTCCTCAAAACTAAGCAGCTTAGTAGGACCAGCCTGATTTCCACATTGCCTGAGGAAGTTCATTCTTGGCCCAGATCCTAGTTCACTGTCTATTCTTATTTTAATTCTTATCAGTGTGACTGATCATCCAACTATCTCATGCTCTTTCCCTGGCTAGCTGCCTAACACATGTAGTTGGTACAGAAGCTGCCTAACAAATAAACTGTTTTTTGCATCAGAATGGATACTGAAGGCTTCTAATATCATGATTAGGTTATTTGGAGGAGTGTGTTGATAGGAAGAGAAATAAAGGACTAGTAGAGTGTCCCAAGGTACAGCAATGTCTGGAAGTTGAGGTCGAGTGTTGAAGTTTGAGGAGGAACAGCTATGTGAGCCACCATGGGGCATGACAGCAGAGCCTGGCAAGGAGTGCGGGGTGACAGTGATGTGCTGCTGGGAGTCAGGCTAGATGAACAGAGAAGGCCCAAGTGACTTTGTTATCATGCAGATGGCTGGTGTCCTACCAAGGGCCAGGCTGGGGCTGAGGCAGGTGGGAAAGCTGGCCACTGGAGTGCCTGGGGGAGGTTAGGTGGGGAAGTGTAATAGTAACTACTTTCATTGGACTGATGGGAGCTGCACACCTTTTGGTTTGCATTTGTATTTACAAATACTCATTACAACCCTGTTTTCTTTGATTATAAAATCCTAATCTAGGATCTCTGTACCAATTACTTTTTTTTTTTTTTTTGGTCTTTTTGAGACAGGGTCTAGCTATGCAGTTCAGGCTGGCCTTGACCTCACTGTGTAGCCCAGGCTGGTCTCAAACTTGCAATGATCCTCCTGTCTCAGCCTCCTGAATGCTGGGATTACAGGCGTGCGCCACCACACCTGGCGAACTACATTTCTTTGAGGGACAACATACATTCTAAATTGTACAAAAGCACACTAATAAAAATGTACACTTTGATTTGTTTTGCATATTGTGCGCCCGGTTAATCACTGTTCATACAAGCTAGAGGAAAATGGATACTCTATAAAATTTCTTCCCCACCTTTTCCAGGCTGTTTTCCTGGAAACGCAAACCAATATTCTGTCTCTTACCAACACTCATTGGCTTTATGACACAGCTTTCCACAGAAACAAATGAAGGAGACTGCTTTAATATAAAATTTGAAAAAGGAACCTAATAGAAAGGCCACCCATTTGGCGCCAAACCTTTAGCAGGTCTCCTGCAAAGCAAAGGCCCACCCTCTGCGCCACGCCCCTTTCGCGCTTTTCCCGGGCCATCAGCGCTCAGGGCAGGAAGCGGCGGCTTTTCTGTCATGCGCACTGCGGCTCGTGGCGCTCCTTTCCCTTCGCCGCCGCGTCACGCACACTGAGTGCGCCGTAGGCTTGGGCGCCTGGCCGCGCTGCAGTGCGCATGAGCGGAGCGGCACGCCAGGGCGGAAGTGGGCGCCGCCGCGGGGAGGTGGGGCTGTTGCGGCTGCTGAGGGCTGAGCGAGGGGTGGACATGGCGCCCTCCGGGAGTCTCGCGGTTCCCCTTGCCGTCCTGGGGCTGTTGCTTTGGGCGACTCCTGGGACGCACGGGCGGCGGAGCGACGTGCGCATCCTCACGGACGACAACTGGAGAGAGCTGCTGCGAGGAGAGTGGATGGTGGAATTGT